TCTCTTCCCCCGCCTTCCTCTCTCTCTCTCTGTCTCCTCACACAATCACCCGTCGGCCTATGGGGTTTATTATTACTATTATTATAGAGGCAGCTTTGGAGCCAGGAAGACCTGGATTAGAGTCTTGTCTCTAACATACACTCACTCTGTGACTCTGGTAAGTTGCTTAACCTCTCAATGCTCCATGAAATTTTGAGTGTAAGCTTTAAAGAATGTGCAGACCTGCATTGGTAGAGGGAGTTTTCTCACCCGGGAGTCCCCTTTACCTTTAAAATTTTAGGACTAGTCCCTTTCATTAGTATTATGGTTATTAACATTTTGCTCCTGTTCCCTATCTCAGCTTAAGACTTCAGATTGTTTCACAAATAGAAACCGTGCAGGTTTAGAGAAAGAGGATCTGATTCTGTCCTTCCTGTAAATGCTGCTTCAGATGCTACCTCCTCCGTACAGTTTCCCTGATCTTTCCCTCCCTGGACCATGCATAATACTTACAAAAATGTAGGCAAAAATCTATCTGCAAAGACAAAGTAGTCCAGTAAGCATCAGAATAAGGAGTGATGTACAGCATTTGCATTTAACAATGTGAAACCAACTAATTGGGGAAAAACCCCATACAGGGCTCTGCTTCCCTTTCTAGGTCCACCTGAAATCCCCACCATTATCTTGGGCTTTGTTTTTTCTTCTGAAAAACGGCTTACCAACCCACCCAAAGCCCGCTTCATCATAGTCACTCTATAGACTGCTCTGGTCTGCTGCTCTTGCTTTCTTCACTCCCTATGGGTTTTCCACATTTCCTCATATTCTTCTCACTTGTCAGTAGACACAGCAGACAATGTTCCATGACATTAAGATGCCATCTTCTGTTCAGCCCATCTCCACTCATCATCTGTGGCGGCTGTTACACAATGAAGCTGCTGGTGGCTTGGTCACCTCTCCGAGACTCTCTTCCTTCATCTATAGAGTGAGGATGACAAAATGGACCCACCCAGGGTTGGTGTGAGGCCCAATGACTAGATGCAGTTAGTCTCAGACTGGGCCTCACCTCTATCCACCCTGGGCATCTCCCTGGGCATCTCAGTGCCTTTCATAGTCACACCGCCACAGCAGGCACAGCCCATCTGCTTTCTATCTCTTGTTCTGAAAACGGCAGTGAGAGCAACTTTGCCACTGCTTTTGAAAAGTGTGTGTCAATAGATTGTCCTGTTTCCACTCTCTTTCCTTGTGACTCCCTAGACTAAAATTCCCTTCCTTAGCCCCTGCGTCCCCAGGCGTAGGGTTTTCACTATCTCCCTTTTGTCTTTGCATCCTCATTGCTTAGCACAGTGCCTGGCACAAAGTAAGCACTCACTGAAAGCTTTTTCATTTATTCAGATTTTAAAATGCTGTATAAATGTCAGTTATAATTTATTTGTTTTGTACTGTTACAAAATAAAGCTACACCTTTCTTATGCAGTTTTCCCATCTCTCTTTAATTAAAAATTATCTCAATTTAATTCAATTAGCATTTTTCCTAAGCACCTGGCATTTGCCAGACTTTGCACTAAGTGATGGGGAGGCTAAAACATAAATGAAAAGCACTGTCCTCAAGTTTTTTAAAACTTATTTTAAATTAGCAACCATTTATTTTCTCTCCTTCTGAACTCCCCTTCTTGCAAAAAAAGAAAAAAGAAAATACAAACCTTTGTACCAAATATGAGTAATCAAACAAAATAAATTCTCACATTGTGTTTCATTTTGTACGTTGAACCCATCAGTTCTCCATCAGGAGATCTGATCATCTGCTTCCTCATCGGTCCCCTAAAATCACAGCTGGTCATTGATTTGTCCCTATGCTATTGCTGCCATAGTCTCTGTTCTTTTCCTGGTTCGATTTGCTTCACTCTTCATCAGTTTGTACAAATCTTCCCAGGCTTCTCTGAAACCACGCCCTTTGTCATTTCTTATGGCACAACAGTAGTATAGCATATAAACAATCATTTGTTTAACTGGTTCCCCAGTCAATGGATGCCCCTGTAACTTCTGATTCTTTGACGGTACAAAGAGATCTGCTGTACATATTTTTCTGCCTATGAGGTTTTTTCCCCCTTCTTTTATCTCTTTGAAGTGTAGGCCTAGACTAGGGGTGGGGAACCTATGGCTTTGAGGTCACCTGTGGTCCTCGAGGTCCTCAAGTGCAGACCTTTGACTGAATCCAAACTGCACAGAACAAATCCCCTTCATAAAAGGATTTGTTCTGTAAAACTTGGACTCAAAGGGCCGAACTTGAGGACCTAGAGGGCCACAGGTTCCCCATCCTTGAGCGTGTGTTAAATAGCTAGGTCAAAGGGTGTGCTCATCTTAGTGAATGCTGGGGCAGTTGTTCAGAATGGCTGGACCAGCTTACAGATCCAGCCACAGCATTAATTTGCGTGTTTTCCCATACCCCCTCCAACAGTTATTGTTTTCCTTTTTTGTCATCTTTGCCAGTTTGATAGGGGTGAGGCGGACTCTAGAGTTTACATTAGTCTGCATTTCTTCTTCAAGAGACTTACATGACACAGTTAATGGAGTGCCAGGAAGACTTGGGTTCAGATCCCACCTTTCATACTTACCAGCTGCTTGGGAACTTGCCTTTGTCAAGCCTCACTTTGTTTATCTGTAAAATGGCAGTAACTGTAGTAGTATGAGGTCCAAATGAGCTCATGGAGAGAGAGCACTTTGTAGACTTTACTATATTAAATAACCATCAGTTGTTATTAGTGTTACTGAGGGATACAGCCGATGCCCTGATTAATAATACACCCCACAGCCAGGGAACTCCAACAAAGGCACTCTTAGATGACACAGGCCTGAGGACAGCCTGGGGAACCTGGCCCCAAAGAAAGGCAGGGTTGGGGCTCTGTTTGAACCCCAGAATAACGATATCTCTAAAATAAAGGTCAGGTAGAGTTTGTGCCTAGGGTCCTCGACCAAAAAGATACTCTGTGTACAATATGGGAACAAATGCAAAAGCATGAAGTACTCAGCAAATGGATGAGCTTCACTCCTCCCCAGAAAGGAGATGAACTTGGGATTGCCATTGGCACAACCGTCCGTCTTCCTTTTCCCAGAGAGTCCTATACGTTCTTCCCAGGACTACTAACCCTGCGGCTGGCTCCCCCCAAAAGGTAAACATGCTTCATAACTAGACATTGAAGGAGCCAACCCTTTCCTGTCACACTCATATTGTCCATCTCTCACTGACTTTGTATTCCAGGTAGGACGCTCCTCCGGAATGAGATGGTCTACCTTCTTCCTTCTCTCTAGAAAGTCCAGCACCTAAATGTCTAATTTCACTAATTTTTGAACTAAATAGTTACCCAAGAGTCAAGTCTCAAAACTGTCGATATCCAGGCAATCTCCCTTCTTTGATATATGGCTAGATTCTGAGATCAAGTTGTCTGGGAGATTCCATATACACTTTCTCTACCCTGGAGGTTAGAATTCAGGAACTTCTCTCCTCAGGCTATGTGCACATGTTCTGCCCCCCTCCCCCCATGTATCTGCTGTAAATAGCCCTTGCTGCCCTGAGGTGCAGATTCTACTCCTTCCATTTACTAGGTATATGGCCGTGGGCAAATCCCTTCATCTCCCTGGGCCTCAGTTTCCTCAGCTGTAAAATGAGACAAGCTGGACTAGAGCTGTACTAGATGATCTTTAAGGTGCCCTCTGGCATCAGGGCTGTATTTCTATGGTAAGTGCATGGAATCTCCTGAGGACAAACTTTTTTGTTCATAGCCGTTCGTGAAGACCCCAGGTTAAAGTTCACGAAGATTGATAAGTAGCATGGTATGGGAGAAAACTTGGCTTACAGTCAGGAGAGAAGTGGATTTCAGTTTCATCTCTCCATGAGCAAGTCACTTTATCTCTTGGAGCCTCTGTTTCCTTAGCTATAAAACGGATTTAGTAACACCTGCAGGGTGGTGCTATGGTACTGGTGGGGTACTCCTAGTGTGATGACTCCCTTTGCCAATGAAGGTCACAGATCAATAGCCTCTGTATGACTTAGAAGATAATTTCTGGAAAGTTACTTGTCTGGGGCATATTAAGGTTGCAGAATCCCAGAACTGGAAGGAACCTCAGTGAATGTCTAGTCCAATCTCTATCTGAAAATGAATTCCCCATTAAAATAATGGCCATCTAGTCTCTTCGTGAAAGTCTCTACCCCACTTTCCACATCTTTGTGTGTGTGTGGTGTGTGTGTGTGTTAGGCAATCAGGGTTAAGTGACTTGCCCAGGGTCACCCAGCCAGGAAGTGTCAAGTGTCTGAGGCTGGATTTGAACTGAGGTTTTCTTCTGCCTCTAGGGCTGGTTCTCTTACCCACTGCACCACCTCGCTGCCCCCCACTTCCCACATCTTGATGCAGGTCATTCCACTTAAGGATAGCCCTAATCATCAGGAAATTGTTTTTTCCTGACATCGAGTCTCAATTTGCTTCTTTGCAATTTCCATTGCTTGTTTCTGGTTCTACTATCTGGGGCTGAGCAGGAAAAGCTGGTCTCCCCTTCATATGATAAACCCTCAAACACTAGAAGACAGCTATCATGTCTCCCTGACATTCCCCCCCCACTTCCTGCCCAGAGTCTAAACAGACTTCTAAACAGACTTAATGTCTTTACCATATCCTCAGATGATATGGTCCCTCCTTCACTATCTTGGTCGTCTTCTTCAGGATACCTGCCATCTTACCAATGGCTTTCCTCCATTGGTTTTTAAAAATGTTTTCCTGCAGGAACCTCTAAGTTAGGAAGTACCTAAGGTGGGATTTGAACCCATCTCTCCTGACTGTTAAGTTCAACACTCTACCTAATTAGCCACACTGCCTCCTACTCTTAAGTTTTAATAAAGGATCTTCCTAAGTTGTTGGGTGCACAAAGTACAATATCTATATTGGCTATTATAGTTATTAGGATGGCCATTGGTGGGGGTGATTCCTGCAGCAATGGACTCACACATCCTTGAAATATTGAAGTATCTTTTTTATTAGAATTATAACTATGCCTCCACAATAACTAAGTGAACCTCCTCCATTTTCCTCAGGCTTCTATCTTGTTAGGAGCATTTTTTTTTTCAGCAGGGTCACAATCTGCTCTTGGCTCTCTGTATTGGCACCCTCTGCCACCTGCAGGGGCGTCTTCCCAAGGCTGTTGGCTGCCTGTAAGTCAGGTTTCTCTCCCTGAGAACAGCTTATCAGGGAAGTGACGGAGCTCCAGTGCCCAGTTTTGCAAGCACAGTGTAACGGGGTGTCTCTGTTGTTGTCTAAGGCATTCACAGCAGCCCCACGGCTCATCAGCAGTTTGACCAAGTCCCCGTGGCCCTGTTCGGCTGCCAAGTGCAGCGGGGTCTTTCGGTAGATGTTTCGCTCATTGATGTTTTTGTTTTTACCCACCTCGAGGAAGACTTTCACCATCTCCACGTTGCCTTTGAGGGCCGCGTAATGTAGGGAAGAAAAGCCATCCATGTCTCTAGCTCCAAACCTGACCTTGTGGATCAGCATAGATTTTACCACATCAAGATAACCCCCAGATGTTGCCCAATGAAGTGGGGTCTTCTTTTCTTTGTCAGGCATATTGGGGTCGGAGCCAGAATAGAGTAGTAGCTCTACCATGGACTTGTCACCTGCCCGGGCAGCCAGGTGTAAAGGGGTCATGGATAGCTTATTTTTCACATTTGTATCTGCTTTGTGCTGAATCAGCTGGGCAGCAGTGTCCAGGTTCCTTCTTTCGCTGGTGATGTGGAGGGGGGCAGTCTGCTCGGTGGTGAGGGTATTGATCTGGGCCCCTGCATGGATCAGCAAGCTGACCATCTCGTGTTTATTGTGCCAGGCTGCAACATGGAGGGGGGTCTGACCATTCCACCCTGGGATGTTAGGATCCATGCCACTGTCCAACAGGAGCTCTGCAGTATAAATGGCACCTGTCTTAACCGCCAGGTGCAGAGCAGACTCCAAAGAGGCCGTCTTGGCCTCCAGGTTGGCCCCCTTTTGGATCAGTACTTCAGCACATGCAGTCCTATCCATCTCAGCCGCCAAGAGTAAGGGTGTATAATGGTTATCATTCTGCACATTTAGGTCAGTGCCTCTATCTACCAAGGCGGCCACAACTCCAGGAAGATTCTTCCGGATGCCTTCAAAAAGTGCCTGCTCCCTGGTTTCAGAGGGCAGGGTTGCTGAATATTTTAGCAACAGCCGAATAACATCTTGGTCATCATGGTGGAAAGCATTGTGGAGAATGCCAGAGTCTGCGTTAATCCCAGCTGTTAACAATATTTTTATGGCTTCATCCAAACTATTTATCTCAGAGGAATCTGAAGCTAGGTCTTCCCTGGGATCCCTGCCATCCAAGAGATCATCATTTTCTGGGAACACCTGCACCCCTTGGCTCTCTTCTTGGGGAGCTGACCTGTACTGGAAATGATAAGGGTTCTCAGTGTTTTCTTCCAGCATCTGTCTCATAAGGGAGCACTGGCCACCTTGTAAACTGAAACCCAGGGGAATCTTGATGTCTCTTTCTAAGTAGTTGCTGCTCATCCCTCCGTGGAGAACTTTCACGGCATCCCCATGGGCCCTTTCGGCAGCTCTTTGCAAAAGAGACTTCTCTTTCCCATCCTTTCCTTTTGCCCTAGAGCCTTTGGTCATTGGATAATTGAGGAGTTCAGCCAGGTCATCGGCCATTGCTATACCCAGTGGGCTTTCTCTTGGGAACATTACTTCATTGATGTATTTGTCTTCTAGAACATTCTCTTTGTCAGGTACATCTCCCTTACCTGATGTAGTGAGGGGACAGATGGGAGGAGCGGGACTGTTCCCAGGAGTCTGAGTTGGCGGGTACTGTCTAATTTTAGCAGCCACATAAGAAGTTGTCTTTGGCTTGAGTGAAGCTTCCTGGACCCCTGTACTCTGCTTCCAGTAGACTTGCTTGTCAGGTATTTCCAGGCTATCTTTGCCCCTATCCAGCAAGGGACCCACTAGTTGCCTTCCAGCCCCTCGGATGATCTCTTCTGTGCCCATGGTATATTTCCTTATGACATGATACAAGTCAGGCTCCAGTTGTTTCAGACATGGGTAAAAAAACATTTGGCAAGCATGTTCTCCTTGGGAAATTAATATGTCCAAGACACGGGTCACTTTTTCAAGGTGTGTCTTGTAGTAGGACACAGCCAACTTTTGTTGGTGTGTGAAAATCCCATAGTCCACCAGTCTCTTGATGAGAACATCGGAATCCTTAATGCCTGCTGCCAGCTCCCCCTTCTTCATCTTCATTACTTCTGCTGCATAAGGACTGCTCTGGCTGTGGGTTGAAGAACACATCATGAGATGGTTAAGTCATCTGCAGGCTGATTGAAGGGCCGGTCAATGCTGGGGCTTGAGACGGAAAGATCAAAGGAACAATGATATTTCACAGATTCTTGTCTCAAGAACAACTGTGTCCCGGAGAGTCAAGTTTCAAATAGGAATAATCAGAGACAGGGGGAAAGAAATACAGATCTGCTCTCCTTTGTCAGAGCTGCCATATTTCACTCTGGATCCTTGACAGTTCAGGACTCTAACCAAATAAAAAAGAATAACTAGAAAAGAAGGACAAGGAAATTAAAAAAAAAAAGCCAGGCCAGGAATCAATTTGGCAAATGTACTTTGTTTGATCCACAGTAATTTGGGAAGCAAGGAGATAGCTTTCTGGGGTGGCCTGGCCAGTTAGGAGGGAAGTCTCCCCATCTGTGGCAACTTCCCTTTAGTGGGAAGTCTCAGGTACCCTTTATGTAGGTAGTAATGTAAGCAACCTTTCATGATGACAACAAAAGCCCTTAGTGACTGTCGCTATGAAGACTTGCCTTTCATGAAACATTGAAGAAAATGGAAGATACTATGAGCAGCAGAGGAGAGAGGTCCATGTAGGCAATTCCCCTTGATCAGTCTGATTCCATTCAGTTCAATTCCATTCAAATGAATCCAATCCAGTCCAGTTCAGTTCAACAAACATTTATTGGACATCTATTCTATGCCAGGAGCTGGATGAGAGGCCAGGGGTACTACGAGGAAAATAGAATAGTCTGGAAGGCAGTATAGTACAACAGGAAAAGCATTGTAGTTGGAGCCAAAAGAATTTACATTGGAATTCTACCTGTTCCTGATTACCTGGGATTAAACTCTACAGATAGTTTACTCATCTGTAAAATGATGAGACTAGATTAAATGTCCTCTGAAGTCCTTTCACACAAGAGCCAAGATCCCATGAGTTTCAAGGAGTTTCTTCTTCTGGGGGTGGGGAGGATACAACATGTGTGCCCAATCCGTGTCATCTAACACAAGGTGATTTAAGAGGGAGAGGACACCTGAGGGAATCTAGAAAGGTTTTGAGTCAGCAATGACATCTGCGTTGTGCTCTGAAGGAAACTAGCCATTCATTTCAGGAGGCCGTGGTGAGGAGGGATCCCATTCTAGGCATGAGGGACAGCCTATGTAAAGACATGGAGATGGGAAGCAGAGTGTTATATATGGGGAATGGCTCATAGGCCAGTCGGGCTAAAATGGAGAGTGTATGAAATGGGGGGTGGGGAGGGAAGGTTAAAAAGAAGTGGGACTTGAAGGTTGGTGGGAGCCAGATTGTGGAGAGATTTGAATGCTAGGCTAAGAATTTTGTATTTTATCCTTGTGGCAATAGGGAACCAGTAGAGACTTTTTGGTTTTTTTGGGGTTTTATTTTTTTGTGGAATGATATGGTCATATTTGAAGAAATGATAAAAGCCTATCTAAAAATAACCAACATTTATATGGAGCTTTTAGTTTTGAAAAGCATTTTATAAATATTATCTCATTTAATTACACAACATCCCCTGGGAGGTAGGTGCTATTATTATCCCCATTTTTTAGTTGAGGAAGGTGAGGTAGAGAGGGTAAGTGACTTGTCCAGGGAGGGTTACACAATAAATGTCTGAGACAGGATTTGAACTCAGTTTTTCCTGACTCCAACTTTGACAGTCTCTCTAATGAACCACCTCGACACTCCTACTGTACCTATCGGCATATCACCCCATCATGCACACTCTGGTTCAACTTCAGAAAGTGCTCAATACGTCTTCACCTCGTGAGCTCCTTGAGGACAGAGCTTGTCTTCTGCATCTTTTTGTATGCTCGGCACTTAGCATAGTGCCTGGAACAGAGTGATTATTTAGGAGATGTCCATCGATCGATCGGTTGACCAATTTTCTCCACCAATGTTATATTGGCTTGTGAAGGTGACCTTGAATTCTAGAAAGCTATGTTAGCAAACCCTAAGTAATCTGCCAATTCTGCCAGCCAGTCATGGGGGAAGGGGTACATGTGAGCTGTCTTAAAGTATTTGAATCTGTCTTCTAGCACCTTGGATCCAAGATCAGAACAGCAACAACAAAAGAGCCAGTTTTTACAACAACATGGAAGAAGGATTAGCTTTGTTCTGCTTGGCCCTCGAGGGCAGAACCAGTTGCATAGCATGGAAGATGCAGGAAGGAATATATAGGCTCTGTTGAAGGAAAACCTTCCTACCTGTTAGAGCTATCCCAAAGGGGAATAAGCTGCCTCAAAAGGTAAGGAAGCTCTTCTCAGGGCAAATCTCTGCAAGCCGCTATAGCACAAATCTACCTCCAGGGCATATATCCTTCAGCAAAAGGTCCATATCCTGCAATCATAGGATCAAAACTGGAGGAGACCTTGGAGATCACAGACTCTAATCCCCTCATTTTGCAGATGAAGAAACTGAGGCAGAAAGAGTAAATTAGGTAATGTGCCCAGAGTCACAAAGCTAGTGTGAACCTCATGCAGGATTTAATCGCAGGTCTTCCTGACTTCCAGGCCAGTGTTCTATCCACTGGGTTAACTGGGAGACGTCAGTTGGGTTGAAGGCTCTGATCACCACCCTTATACATGCTTTCTGAGCCCGAATGGAATGTGGTAGGAAGTTAATATTCTGCTCATTTGACCCATCTTGTTGATTTCACCTACATGACAGCTCTTGCCCCCAGGTCCACCATCCTGGGTGACTGCAATAGCCTCCTCATTGGTGTACCAGCCTCAAATCTCACTTCCTCCCAATCCATCTTCTACACACCTGCCAAAGTGATTTTCCTAAAGTTCAGGTATGACCGTACTCAGTAAACTCCAATGGCTCCCTATTGCCTCTAGGATGAGATATGTTATTTGTTCAGCATTTAAATCCCTTCATGCCCCCTACAACATAGGCAAACTGGCTTTCTTGTTGATGCTTGCGTAAGACATCTTCCACCTCCACGCCTTCGCCCTGTCACCTCTGTCTGAAACCTTCCTCTTTATCTCCACCTTTTGGAATCACTAGTTTCCTTCAAGACCATCAGTTCAAACATCACCTTCTACACATAAATGAACTTACATATACATACATGTATAGACATACATTTTTATATATATATATATATATATATATATATATATATATTTCATAGACATATATGTATTTGTTATCTTTCCCAATAGAATATAAGCTCCATGAGGGAATTATATAAAGTATAGAGGATTAAAGAGGAAACCAATGAGATGGAAACTCAGTTATCAAAATTTGTTTTTAAAAAAACATGATTTCATTTTTGTCTTTGCATCTTCAGTGCCTAGCATAGTGCTTGGCATATAGTGGTAATTAATAAATGCTTGCTGATTGAATAATTAACTTGATTCATAGCTTAGGCTAGGCTGATTGGAATTGCCTTTTAGTTACTAATGTGAGAGCCTGGAGTTTGGACTCTAAAGTTCAGAGAAGCCAATTTCATTGGATGTTTTCATTAAACAGTGTGGGAAGTTCAGTGGGAAAAGAAGGCTGTAGAGAAGACCCCAGTAGGAAATGAGGCGTCAGACCTGAGGAACAGACAAGGTTGTAGCCGAATTTGAAAATGTGAGCCAGGTCAAAATGTAGCCGTGATTCCTTGGAGATATAACTGAGGTCAGTGGGACAAGTGAAAGGAAAACTAGAGTTGAAAGAAGACTGGTCAAGGTCACAGTGAAAATGTCCAGGAACATCAAAGGTTGGTCATTGCCAAGAAGAGATCTCAAGTGATATGATCAACCTATTCAACTTAGTACTCTTGATGAAAAGGACCTCCTACAGCAGCCCCAGACATCCATCGTCTTTAAGGAGCCCCCACTTGATGAATCTAAATTCTGCTGCTTTGGCCTGTTTTCCCTTAGGTTCATAAAAGCAAATGAGAACAAATGAAAGAGCATTTATTAAGTGCTTACTTTGTGCCAAGCACCATGCTAAGCACTAGGGATACAAATGTAAAAGCAAAGAAAGACCTTGGCCCCAAGGTTTATGTTCTAAAGGCAGAATTAAACCTGGAAGAGTGATGGCAAGGGAGGGGTGCTTTGGTCCAGATAGTTACAGGGATGGTGACTGGGGTCCCTTTGGGAATAGATTGATACAACCCATCCATGAACAATAGTAGAATGGATTTGATTGTGATTCGTGGTTTGAGAACTCTGGGGTTAGAGAAGAGGAAAGGGTGCCCATGTCCCAGAAAAGAGGTTGGTGAGGTGGTATATGGAGAAGAGAGAATGAAGAGGAGCAGGATTTGGCCTTTCCTGAAATAGTATCTTTGGAGAGGCAATGACTGATACATCTTAGAAGCCATATGGTGCAATGCCCTCATTTTATAGAGGATGTCATGAGACTACAGATCATAGACTTAGGACCAAGACTTAGGACTTTATGAGGTCATCTAGTCCAACCCCATGACATTTTATACTTGAGGAAACAGGTCCAGAGAGGGAAAGTGATTTGCCTAGGGTCACACAGTTGGTGAATAGTTGAAGTAGAACTGTAACTCAAGCTGCCCATCTAACTCATCCACTTATCAATTCAAAGCCATCTGACCTGATTATGGGAGCTCCTTTGACTAATCATATTAGCTACCTGTAGCAATTTGAGGTTTCCAAAGTACTTAACCTATATCATCTTATTGCACCTTATATTCTCTCGATGCCCTTTAACAATATTTATCTGTGTGAAGCAGCTAGATGGCAGTGCCTAGAGCAGTGGAACCGAGTCCAAAACCAGCCTCAGACACTTCCTAGATCATAACCCTGGGCAAGTTACTTAACCTCTATCTGCCTCAGTGTCCTCATCTTTAAAGTGAAGTTGATAATAATAGCATCTACCTCCTCTCAGGGTTAGTGTAAGAATCACATGAGATAATATAAAGTGCTTTGCAAACCCTAAAACCTTCTACAAATGCTGTTGTGAAATAGAGAGGCCAGACAAGAAAGTACTAATGTGACCATTTTGGCAGGTGAGTACTTTAGAGAGGTCTTATTTCTAAAATGATTTCTCTAGGATGCTGTCATCTTCCAGATAGAATTCAGCATCTCTTGCCATTTCTTGTGCATTCAATGATCAATTCTAAGCACGTGCCATGGACATCTCTGCATCTGTGGACCTAGCCTCTAGTCCTACAGCCCCAACTTCCTTCTTGACATCTTCATGTGAATGTCTTGTAGTTATCTCAAACTCTGCATGTCCAGAGCAGAACTCCTTATCTTTCCCCCTTAAACCTCCCTTTCTCCAAACTTCCTTATTCCTGCTGAGTACAGCACCATTCTTTCTATCACTCAGCTTCATGAGCTAAGAGTTGGATTCAACTCTTCACTGTCCTCCCCAAATCCAATCATGCCAAATATTGTCCATGACATTTCTCACATCCATCCCCTTCTC